GCCAAGTCGGTTACTTTTTTTGCTAATTTAGTGGCTGAGGCGATTATTGAGGCTAAGCAAGGCAAAGAAGAAGGAGAAAATAAGGTCTAATTTTATTTAAAATTTTGTAAATTTTAACGGTAAAAATAAAGTATAATTAATTATGACAGTTCCGCAAAAAAAAAAAAAAAAACAGTCTTAATAATTGGCGGGATAATTATTCTCTCTTTATTAATCAGTGGAGCCTTTTTGATCGGAAGAGTGAGTGGAAAAAGCAGTTTACCAGTAAAAAAAGAACCCGCTCCTAATCAACCCAAAAATAACCCACCACCAACTCCAAATAATCCACCTCATAAGCCTAATTCTCCCACTAACCCAAATGAATTACAATTTACAGTTTATTATCATTCGAAATTAGGACGAAATCATATGTGAGTTGACATTGACGACAGAAGCGATAAAATCATTCTCATTGGCGAGGAAAATCCAATTTTTCCGAACAGCGAACTAACCAAAAAGGGCCATAATTACACTATCACTTTTTTGGCTCAGGATGCTGAGAAATACCAAAATCAAGACCATATTTATTATTTCAGCAAAAATAATAATAAGTTTACTTTGAAACCCTATCAGAAAGAGCCAGAAAAAACAGGGAAAACTGAGATAAAAGTCAGGTATTGTGGCAAGGCGATAAATGAAAAAGGGGAGTTTAGTGATTATGCTTTCACTAATCTTCCGAAAGATGGGATAAAAGTCCTTTACATTAGCAAAAACCACCCCCGAATTAAGGAACTATTACAAGCAGGAAAATTACAACCGGGTAAACATTTTATTATTCGTTATGGAAAGGTGGATAGAGAGTTTATGAAAGGTTTTGCGTATGATTTTAATGAGTTTAATCAAGAGTTAGAGATTATGGAAGCCTAAATTAGTAAAATATGGCCGGAATTAAAATTAAGGTATATGAATAAAAGAACTAAAAAAATTATAAAAATAATTAGTTTAATTATCCTAATGGTTAGCCTAGGAGTGGGAATATTTTTAGTGGGGAGAAAGATAGCCAAAAGTGCTAAAAACTCGGAAAATAAGGAGCAAAAAGTCCAAAATGAAAAAGAAATTGAGAAGGTTCAAACTAAATTACAGCAAGCAAAAAGTCAATTGGCAGCCGAAAATAATCCGGTCGAAAAACAAAAACTACAAACGGAAATAGATAACTTAAATCAGCAGTTAACTAAGTTAAAAAAAGGGAATAATCCGACCACTCCTCCAATTCAAAACCCACCAACTAATAAAACCCACCGAAAACTTACGGTTAGATGCAACGGTGCAGTAGGAGGGAAACGGGAATATATTAACCTTTCCAATTACCAAGAACGGATTTTAATTGACCCCAAAAACAAAATTTTTTCTTCCGATAATGCTTTGTATATAAAGGATAGCCAATATGCTATTTCTTTCAATGAAGAAGATGCTGAAAAAAAAGGAAATAATTTCATTTTTGACGAAAACAATAACAGTTTTCAACTAACACCAGTTAATATTCCTTCTCCTCAGCCCAATTCTGACCAAGTAGAAATGGAGATTAAGTTTATCTCGGCTGTAGAAGATGATGTAAGTCTTTGTAACAATTTAAAGGTTGGTGATTGAGATAGCGGAAAGAAAAAACCGATTTTTATATTAATTTCCAAAAAAAACCCTGTTTGGAAGGGGAAAAATTGGGACAAAGTTAATTGAAAGCAAGTTCCGAATTTTAAAATTTCTTTCTTGAAAAAAGATGCCTCTCAATATAAAAATGAAAATACTGGATGAGGAGAAAAGGAAAATTATCATTTTGATGAAAATAACAATAAATTTACTTTAACTCCCTTAGGTAATTGACCGGACGAGCCAGGGCAAACACCAACTCCGCCTGGAAATAATAATCCTCCTCCGAGCAAAAAGAAAATAACTTTACAATTAGGATATACACATTCATCAGGTGTTGGTCATTATGTTTTTATGGAAGGAAAGGAAGAAAATGGAAGTTTTGTTACAAAAGAAAACTCAAAAAAAATCTACATTAGTCAAACAAATACGGCAGTCAATAAGTTTTTAAAAAAAAACTCGCAATACAAAATTAGTTTTGAACTAGATGCGGTTTCAGAAAGTATTTTTCAAACTACTTCACTTTTATTTCTAAATGAAGATGATACTATTGAAGTTGTCGAGGCATAAAAAAAAGTTAAAGTTATAGAAAGTAGGAAAATTTAAAGAGAGCCTTGACTTAAGCCAACCAATTTTTAACTAATTTTGTAGCCAAAAGCATTTCAAAAATATTTAACTAACTCTCTTTTCCTAAAATTTTTTTATAATTCTATGTTCCGACTTATTACCAGTTTCCGGCCTGAGGGAGACCAACCCAACGCTATTCAGAAAATAGTTGAAAATATTCAAAAAGGGCATCATGAACAAGTGCATTTAGGAGTTATCGGGACTGGTAAAACTTTCACCATGACCAATATTATCCAGCAAAGTCAAGAACCAACCAAAACTAACTGAACTCCTTGGCTAATTGGCGGAGGAATTATTTTAGTTTTGGTTATTGTTCTAATTGCTTATTCATGAAGTAGGAAAAAGAAGTCAATAAAATAAGTTCATATTAACTAGTGTAAATATCTTACTTAATCCCAAAAGAATAATACCAGTCTCTAACAAAGAGTATGAAAATCATACAACGTTTTGAGTGGTCTCTTTTGAATATGTAGATAGAGCAGATGCAGTCAATAAAGTTTTTCACATTGAAAGGGGCAACAAATCATTAAAAATTGCCGCTGAAGCCTTAAATTAATTATAGGGAGTTGTTTTAGCCTGGTTTGACCAATTAAAATTTGTTTTTTTAAATTAAGGATAAAAGCAGTAAGTACTTAACTGAAAAACTAAAAAATATTAACATTGTTGGAGTGGTGGCCGAGCGGTCGAAGGCGCTTCCCTGCTAAAGAAGTAGTTGGTTTCAACTCGAGAGTTCGAATCTCTCCCACTCCGCCATTTGACATTTGAATAATTAAACTATATAAAATAATACTTATGTTGAAAAAGTTATAAGCAAAAGTTTATAAAATCCATTCAAGGGTTATATTTTCTCCCTACTTCTTTATCCATGGTAAAAGTTAGTAAAAAAAATACTTCACACTTTCGCTGGAAAGTCTTTTGAAGCATGCCAAAGGATTAGTAGCGGACTTTACCGGAAGTAAAACAGGGCAAAGTTAAGTTCTAATTGGATTTACCAAATATTTATTAAAATCGTGGTAATCCTTCGGAATAATCCGAAAGATTTCTTAGCTGGTTCCACTAATTAGAAATTAAGGAAAAGAACTGGCAACAGTTATCTAGTCTGAAACTACTAGGTGCTAAGGATATTTTGAGGCTAAATAAATAGCAAAAAATATTACAAAAACTTATGGTACAAAAAGGTCAAGCAAGTCCGAGAGTTCATTTTTTCCACATCACTCCTCCTACTGGGCGGAATAGCAAATACCGAGTAAAAGAAGTTTATGAAGAAAATGCTCGTGCTTTTGACACTCGGGAAGAGGCTTTAAATGAAGCTAAAAGACCTTAAAAGAAGTGGAGGCTGGACACATTGTGGTTCATGATGAATTCGGACGATTTAATTTCTACGAAGAATAGGGGTTCGACTAAACCTAGCGGTCAGAATTAGTCAAAAAAAAGGGAGTACTACCCTCCCCTTGATTTAAATTACATAAAAATAAATATTTAAAAAAATATGGTAAAAGAAATTATAATTCCAAAAGAAAATAAAGCACAAATAGAAGAAATTAGAGAAATAGAAAATAAAGAGTTGGAACTGCAAAAGAAAGAGTTTGAAAACAAAGAAAGTAAGTCGACAGTCGCAACAGTTGCCGAAAATGCAAAGGCAGCGGTCATTCCTACGGTTCATGCTTCCGATAAAGATGATGATGATCATGATTTTGAGGCTAAGAAGTTGATAGAAGTAAGGAAACTGCTAAAGAGGCATGACAACGCAATGCCGATGAATTCAGAAAAATGGAGCGAGATGCTGCCGAGGGAGATTGCAAAATTTCATAAGCAAATGGATTTAGTTTTAAGTTAACGTGTGAGTATTTGTCTGAGAAAAAGAGTTGTCTGAAATTCTGAATGAGATATATTGAAAAGGGGAGGGAGAAAATGTTTCTTTCCTCGAA